AAATGTCTCTAGTTTCTCATTCTTCATGGCTGAGTAGTACTCCCTTTTATTAAAAAAACACATCTTCTTTATCTAGTTTGATGGGCACTTGGGCTATTTCCAAGCTTTAGCTATTACAAATTGTGCCGCTATAAACATGGGTGCACATGTATCGCTGTGGTATGATTCTTTTAATTCTTTGGGGAAGATACCCAGCAGCGGAATAGCTGGGTCAAATGGGACCTCTAGCCCTAGTTCTTTGAGGTATCTCCATATTGATTTCCACAGTGATTACACCAGTCTGCACTCCTACCAACAATGGAGAAGGGTTCCTTTCTCCCCACACCTCCGCCAGCATTTGTTATTGGTTGATTTCTTGATAGCAGCCAGTCTTTCTGGGGTGAGGTGGAATCTCAGCATTGTTTTCATCTGCATCTCTCGAATGACGAGTGATGTTGAAGATTTTTTCATATATTTATTTGCTGCTTTTACTTCTTTGAGAAATGTCTGTTCATTTCAGGTGCCTATTTTTGAATTGGGTCTTTGAATTTGGGGGGTCTGATTTTTTTCAATTCTTTCCTAGAGGATTTCTTCAGATACTTTGTGGTGCTGGGGGTTGAACCAGGGGACTCATGCATCCTAGGCAACTGTTCTGAGCTACATTCACAGCCCTTTCTAGATTCTTATGTAAGAAAGAAAATTTTTCATTCTTATTGAAATAAATGTTAGCCAAACCTAATTCTAGCTGACAGAGACACTGACTTGTAAAAATATACATTTGGGTTTTATACAAAGACCAACCTTTGGAATAAAGATCAATGTGATGTTAAAACTAAAGATGAAGCTACGTATGGTGGTGCATGTTTGTAATCCCAGCACTCTGGGAGGCTGAGGCAAAAAAGGTTTGAACCCAGGCTGGGTAACTGAGCAACTTAGTGATGATGCTCTGTCTCAAAGCAAAAACTGCTGGGGATGTGTCCTAGAAATACAATGTACAGAGGCTCAGTCCTGCAGTACTGCCCCAAACAAGAACAAAACCAAAACAAAGAAGTGATTATGCAACAAAATAAATACAAGGAAATACAATCTAGCTAAGAGATTCTCAGGGTCCACAAAGAGACCTAAGGGGTCTGATAATCCTAGAATCAAAAACAAATTTTTTTTTTTGGTAC